TGTGTGTGTGTGTGTGTGTGTGTGTGTGTGTGTGTGTGTGTGTGTGTAGGGTGGTCAGGGCCTGGCTGCATCAGCCATTCTCACTGCTCAGTCTCCCCAGGCACCAGCTGCCTCTCCAGCCTTCTCTCCCCTCCTCGGTACTGTCACCCCTCTGTGCTGCAGGGACAGTCGCACACTCTGAAGGGCTGAGAAATGACCCTTCATACTCAAACTACATCTAATGGCGGTTCCCTCACATATCTGCCAGGCCGGTATACTGTATCAGTCAGTATTGGCTTGGTGCGAATCCATCTGTATCGGCATATATGTCGGCCGATGGGTAACAAGAAAATTCACACAGAGGTGCACACCACTCCTCTTCTTCATGCACAACACTAGCTCCCTGTTGTAGTTCTCATCCAGGTTAAGAGTCCGATGTTGGCCTACAGTGAAAGAAACTGCTCCTTTCTACCTCCAAGCCATGGTTAAACCCTACTCTGGTCCGACCATCGCGCTCCTCTGCTTCTGGATGATTGACCTCCCTGTCACTCTGAGGACCCTGTGGTCACTCATCTTGGACAAGGCACTTTTCTATTCTGGTGGAATAAATTCACGAGTGAAGGACAGTCGGTCTTAATAATCACTCCCCTTCTCAGGCGCCACCTCGCCACCTCGGCCTTTTGTTTTTCATTCTTCTTTCTGCATGTCATCCCCTCTCTCCATCTTTCCAGTCGGTCTATCCTGTCAATCTGATAATGGCAACAAAAACAATGCCATATCTTTGATATTGTAAATTTAAAAAGTGTTTTTGATTTGTGTTGAAGAACCTGAGCTTCCATCATGAGAACATTGTTATTGTAAATTACTACTTGGTCAGAAACTAAGAAAACTATTTTCAAAAGAATAAATCAAAATCTGGTGGCACGTGGCAGCAAATACACTAATCTTTTACAACTTGACTGACCCGTCAGAACACGAATTTACGCTGTCGGTAATTACGTAAATAAACACACAAATTAATGTTAAAACCATTAAAAAATCACAGATTTTTGTTTAAACAGATGAAACCTAAAGTGCTCCCTGGAATTTACACTCTAGTTTTCATGGAAGATATACAGTTGATTATTTAATAATTCAAATCTACTGCATCTTGAATTTACATTAGGTGAAAAGGAATTCAATTTTATCTTAAGTGCAGTCTTCTAACGAATGCATTTCCATATGAACAGATGTGCTTTGTTCAGAAAGACCTGGTCCAATTTCCCACAATGCAGTTTACGCCTACACATTGCCCGGGACATCATCAGAGATTCTTGTAAACTCATAAATGATTTTCATTATGGAGCTTGTTCTCAGTGATCACGCTAGTACTAATGATCCTCACTTGGCATTTCTTGTGAGCTTTGGCAATGTATAATCTCATGTATAAAAGAAAACATCACCATTGAAAGGCCTCCAAGCTAACTTTAATTTTGCCAGGGGGTACGTGGAAGAATTGTAGAGAATTAAAAGTGATGGATAAACTCTAAAAATAGATGGTTACAATTAATGTATTAATGGTTAAATGGCCAAAATAGTTGGCTAAAAGTAATGGATAAATAAATAATAATTAAATGGATAAAGGGTTAAATGTGCAGCCCATGACAATCCTGGTAGTAGTACAAACTTAATTAACTTAATTAATATTAAATTAACTTAATTTCCCTGTGAGAAATTAACGTGATGAGAAAACTCTCAGATGTCTTTAAGTATTTTATTGAACAGACACTTAATAATTATTAATAATGAATAATTCAGCTGAATGGTCGGAGCTCTTTGCCCCACGGATGGTTCAGAGGCGTACTCCCTTTTCGGATGGAGCTACGATGTCGAGGCCTTGGCAGGTGCTGCTGTTTCTGCTTTTGTGAGGGAGGCGGAGGTCATGAGCTCTCACAACCATCAGGTTGAGATTACAGCAAGTCACACACAGGCTACCTTTGTTTGTCTGCATGCACACAATGGTCAGAGTTAAGCGATACCAGTTACATCTAATATGAACATACTGATAATATTATTGTGACAATATCCACTTTTATATAAACAATAATATTGAATAGCATCCAGTTTGAAATCCTTTTGAAATTCAAATGAATACAAAATACGATGAAGGAATTCTTGAGTTCAGCTGACAGGGCTGCATGGGACAATAAAAAGTTGGGAAATTATTGTTAAATATAATATGAAAATGAAACAATCAAAAAGTTCAATGATTTTTCCTGTAGGCTAACCCCTCGATTTCATACTGGGAGGCTTAAAGCTGCACTGTAAGCAAAGATGTATAATTAACAGTATGCACTGTAATCTGGATCAAACCTACCCCGTGCCAACTAGAGCAGATTGGCAGGAAACGGAGAAGGGGGGGGCTTGTGTTTTTTTTTTTCTTTTGCTATACAGCCAACTGTGCATTTGCTGTATTTCATGATCTTTCACCATGCCCCTTTAGAGGCGGCCCAGACAGTAAAATCAATTGGCCAGTGTGGTGGAGTTTTGGATGAGTTTTAGCTGCATCGGGGGGGCGATAGAGATCGAGTCCAGCGGTATCTGTAGTTGTTCTTTGCTGCCTTTATGGGACCATAAAACCACCGCAGTAATCTCCCTTTCTCCTTTCATCTGTGCCCACAGGCAAACAGACGTGCCCTCCAGAGAAGTTTGACTGTGGGGGATCCACCAACAAGTGTGTCTCGTTGTCATGGCGATGTGACGGGGAGAAGGATTGCGAAAACGGGGCGGACGAGGAGGACTGTGCGTCTGGTGAGTTTGATGACGTCTGCTGTCAGTCCTCCACTGTAATGGAAATTACCTCAAAGAAACGCACGAACCGCTGCTCACCAACTGCTTTTCAAGAACAAAAAATGAATTCTAAGAGTGTCAATGACAGATGTGCAGAAGTGAACGACTTCACGAGACACACGGTCATAAGGAGGATTTAGATTCCTCCTTTTTAGTATTTTATGGGGTTTCCTCCTTTCTGGTCTGGCTTATCATCCAGAGGCTTTCGACATGAAAGCACAGTAGATAACACTTCATATAATCAGAGGGATTTAAAGTGAGGTTTGAGTTTTAAGCGAGCTGCACTTAACAACAAAGTCATCTTTGATGTGGAATGACTTTTGGTGCGGAGTGACAGATATTTACAGCTTTCTGTTGATATTTGGAGGTTTCTGTCACCACATCTTGAACCTTGAGTCTTTAGACTTTCCACTGCAGGGGCCTCATAGCCATCAAAAATGACATCACCTCCTACCCAGCCAATCAGACAACTCAACCGTGTGCTTCCCCCAACCCCCCCCCCCCGCCCCCTGCAGGGACTATACTTGCCCTACTTCTGAGGCGCCGTGAAGAATCGGCTTCGTCTTTTCTCTATTTCCATTGCTTCTTCGCTGTGGGCTGTTTAGACTTTGAAGATGAAGAGCATGTGGCGGTAAATGCAGGGAGGGAAAAAAAAAGAAGCCATCTCCTTATTATCCTATATAAATGATGATGTTCGTCTTTTCAGGCATTTGTTCCCTGTCAGTTGTTTGTGTGTGTGGGCGTTGACAATATGCCTCTTTGGCATTTAAGCAATTTATGTTTTTGTTTTTCAAGGATAAACAAGAGTTTTTATTTAGAGAGGAAGCCAAAATAAATTGGGTATAAAATTAAAACACAAATCAGAGAAATTCTCCTCTTGAATATATATATTTACCATCGCCCCATTGAATGATACCCGATACAAATGCTTTCACTTAGTCATGTAATAATGATATTTTTTTTTGCCAGATCGGCCTACAAGTGGCCTGTCAGTGACTCCCCTCCTCAAAGTGGCCCCACGCTCTCACGCCAAGTGGTAGTGATTCCATTGACTTAAGTTCTAATGCCTTCTTAGCTTGGATGGCTTTTCACTGCGGTGCCCATTAAGACCCAGTCTAGCCTGTGCTAATCCTTTTTTCATTCTAATGTCTGTATTGATGCAGCAGCCTTAAGCTTCTCAGTAGTGACATGAGGGCGGGCAGCAGGCTGCCGCCCACCCAGGCAAGAGCCAAAATCCCTCCGGAGGTAAATGCCACTCAGCGTGACCAGGAGGGAGAAGTAGACTCCAGTGCAGCACAGTGCTAGATAACATCACCAATAAGGCTTATTAAGTGCTGCTCAGTCCAGTTTATTTGAAGACTGATTAGTCCCACCGCCAGCCTTAAAGATGACGTCTAAATCAAGTGCAAGAAGCTTTTAACTGTTACATCACAGCAGATCAATCTGAAGGTACCGAGCATTGATTCTTCAGTGTTATGTTCCAGCCCAGTGACTTAAGGAATGATGTTCACATTGCTGCGTTGCATTTGTGCCCAATACCAATGGTAACGCCGATGCAGGAAGTAGTCTGATGTTCATATAACTATATGTAATTCTAAACCTTAACAATAACATGGAGTTTTGTGTTGATGCAAACTTAAAGCCATTGTTTACAGAATTATAACGCTGCTTGCTGTATTACTCTTAGGCACTGCAGACAGAAGGCTTTAGATATTTTACATTTACAGTCACGAAGTGAGGTGAGAGAAGAGTGGTTGAAATTATCAAGTGTACGTTTCTGTTAGTCTGTTTGTTGCGGGCTAGCTGTTGGCACACAGGCAGCAACAGAATTCACTTCAAAGCAGTGTTAACTAAGCTGTATGTTTGGGTTTAGAAGGAAACAATTAATGACGATGATGTTTCGAATGATGCAGAAGCAGTCGTACAAAATCAAAATATAGAAATTTTATGAACAGTGTATGTATCCAATTGCTTTTTGCTCCTGCTGGCCAAAGGCTTGGCTTCAAATCTCAGAGAGTGAGGCTGCAAATGTAGTAACAACTCATCTTTTGGTGCAGTTAATTTAAAATATTGAAGCATACATGGGAAGTGTCGGAACCATTGAGCATCAAATGTTGACGGGACTCCCCAAGTGTAAACTAGAAACAAAAATGCTGCTACAATGTCTGTCTCTTCCACAGCAGAATCAACATTGTTAGAGATAAACCTGTTGTGTTTAACGGAGAAGGCTTCCATGTAATTGTGATTAGATGCTCATTCAATCATGCAGAAAGATGGTAAGTGGGAAAAGGATCCTTTCAGGAGCTGCATTATCAGATTTTTGGTGCTTAATGAAACAAAACAGGAATCCCTTCTTTCTGTAGCTACTGGCAATTTTTACACCTTTGCACATCTGGCCACTGTGGCCAGAGCTTTAAGCTTTGCACCATCTCTTTTTCTCACATTCCTGTCATAGGCAGAAGTGATGGAAACTCCTACACCACCTCAGGGGCATGGCGTGCTTTGAAAAGCGTTAGACAGACTCCACATTCATCTCCATACATTTGAATAAACCTCTCACAATTCACAGTTAGTGTTACATCGGCAGATGCAGCACTAACTAGATGCAACTTTTTTTTCTCTTCAGACTGATTTATTTTTGATCAAACCAAGAGTTATAGACACGACTGACACATAAATCATTTGGACAGTTTAGGGGACACATCAAGTCATGCTCCACTTGACTGCACCTTGCGACTTCACTTGTCCTCTCTGGTGGTCAAAGAAGTAAGTAAGAGTTGGTTATAAGAAGTGTTAGTTGTCTCTGCGACAGGACATAGATAGATAGATGAACAGGTAACAACCGAGCACAGAAATTAGGTATTTTATAACTCAAAATAATGTGGGGGAAATGGCTGCTGTGAAACGTTGAGTGTCAATACGTTTTGTGAGCATGATCGAGCTTAAACATTCACACAGTGAGCAAAACATTCAAATCTACACTCACCATGTGAGTTGAGTGCTTTCATTCCCAAAAATGCCTGAGCTGGAACGTACTGAGCTAGCCCCAGTGCGCTCTGCTATTAGTATAAATTTAAAGAGTGAATAGCCCGGCGCAGATTCACAAAAGTAAATCTAGCAGAGGCATCCTGCTAATTGAGTCATCCACATGTTGAATTATGTATTAAGTATAATCTAGCCCTCACCAGAGGAAGCTTTTCTTGATCAACATTACAGACAGCAGCACTTCTAGAGAAACTCCGTGAGAAAGTTGAACTGTCCTCAACCCTCAGCGATATGGAGATTAATGTGCACTTACTCTCCAGGCTTCTCTCTTGAGCACGCCTGTCTGCTGGGATCTGCTGCGAAATTTGTATGTTTTCGTGTGTGTTTGCATTTGTACTCCGTGTCAGATTGAGCTGCCTGCCTGGCCTGTGCATATAATAGTTCTGTGAAGTTGTATTTTTTTTTGCATGTTTCCGGATTCATATTTAATGCTGCTTGGATAATATGAGGCAAACAATTACTTCCTGCACTGCTCACAGCTGTCTCTGGCAGATAGTGTGCAACCCCACCGATGAAGCTTTCACACAGGACCGTTTTACAGAACTAATGTGTATCCTCCGACCAAAACAATCATTCAGCTAATCGAAATCTAGACAGGTGGGTGTTTTGTCTCTTCTTGGCACCCGATCCATGTCTCCTCCATTGGCCCTCAGTTAGCTGACCTTCTCAGTCAGTAAGGATGTCAGAGAGGAAGTTAAAACACTCCCACCTTGTCCTCTATTATCTTCTCTTGGTTGTTACTGTAGATGAGAGAGTTGTCTCTTCTCTATTCCAGCAGTGTTTCCTCTGTAAATGTTTGTGTAGCATCACAGGAAAGGTCAGCTACTGAGCCATTTCCCCGGTGAGGCACTGTGACCTCGCTGCAGTGAGGTCACAGTGGCTAGTGGACCTCGGTTCTGAACCGTCCCTTCAGTTTAAGTCTGTGATATCTGTGTGAAAGCAGTCAGGACGTTAAGCTGCACTGACAGTGACTGATATGCTCAGAGGTGTTAAGCGTGTGCAGATAAAAGATGCATTACTCAGTTTTTACATGCTTACCCTCAACCCGGATGTCTTTCTTTTCATTTCACGTCTCCCTCTGTCCCTCCTCCTACACAGAAAAATATAATTTATTCACCTTTCTGTCTTTCCTTCGTGCATCCTAACTATACACCCACCCACCCCCACACACACACACACACACACACGCACACACACACACACACACACACCACTCACTCATCAGCTGTAATGTTAATGTGAGTTGAGTAGAACAACCAGTCATCTCTTGCCCTTTCATCTTAGCCAGTTGCTGCTGGCAAAAATCTCTCATCATCAAAGCTGCCACATAAAGTAAAGTGTGTTACGCTGCCAGCTACTGACTACTAAGGTGGTAGTCATAGAAATAGAAATGGTTTCCCCTCCCAAGTTATTGAGGAAGGGGCAAAACATGGCTGTGTGCCACCAGTGTAAAGCTCTCAAGGAATATAGCCTCCCTTTCTGGAGAAAATTTAAAATCGATGTGAATTATGTCTGTTAATTGAGAATATATAAGGACCAGAAAGTTCCTCGTCTATCGGCAAAGTTAGCATAAGTTGCTTGCTGGCGGTCACAAGAACAATCTATCTAAATGCTAACATCAGCATGCTATCACGCTTACAATGACAATGTTCCTGCTTTTATTCAAGCAACAATTCCAAATTATGTATATAGATCTGCCTACATCTACCAACCAACCCAATGAGTGAAATGTTAGGTACTTTATTCAGAGTGCTGTGATTTAGTGCTTGGACTGTCGGTACTTTGCGTGAATGAAACGTAAGAGCATACGACATATTAACAGAATGCAGGAAGGCAGTCTGTGGGCTCAAAGTTGCTCCAAAGACCTCGGATTCATTTGCTTAGTGCCTCTTCACCACTGGAAAACAAAGTCTCTCTCCAGTGTAACCAGGCCACTCATGTACATTACTAATGATCTGCCCCCTGTGTAATAATGTACATGGCTGTTGAATCTCCTTAATTATTTAGTGCCACATTAGTATGGAGTTGGAGTAGAGGCATAACAGGCACAGTAGTTCTAAAACACATCAGAATCAGATGGAGCTTGTTTCATATTGATGAATATAAACCCTTTTACTGAACTGAATCTTGACACTTGTTTTTCGTATCAACTGCTTTCCTGTGCTTCTGTGGCAATCATGTCGGTACCAGTAAATTAATTACACACTGAGAAAACAGATAGGGACTTTAACATATGGTATAACTTCATAGGATAGGAATTAGGACACCATCCTGTACCTGATGTTTGTTCCCCCAGTTTAACTCGGCACATGGAAATTCATGCGATTTTCCACTCGAGTGAGATATTAAATTTATATGTGTTTTTTCTGTTTTTGATTCTGCTTGGTTGTAGTGTTCAACCAAGGACACAGCACTGAGCTTATCATTATTTTTAACTGATGGTTAAATGTAGATTCCTTTCATTTCTGTTCGGAGCTTTTCAAACTGATTTATTCTTTAGCCGTTGAAAAGCTCATCCCTGTTTTGATTGAAATATTAGTATCAGAATTACAAATCACTGCTCATGCACATAAAGTCTTGACTGACAACATGCACTTGCTTTACAATGGGCTAATTCTGTGTAGAATGTTTTAAAACAGCAATCCCCTTCCTGTAACCAGCCTTAACAGCCAAAGGCAGCGGTGTTGAAGTTGAACTCCCTATGGTTTGTATAGATATCAGATTCCTCTTCTCCCGGTGCTGTTACATCTCAGTTCATTTTTAAACCACAGGCCTTTTAATATATTCATTAAATTCGAATCACGCAGGCCCTCATTTGCCCTTCAAACTCCTTTCTGAGGTTTGTTCCTTTCTGCTCGTCCTCTAGATGCCAAAGCCTGCCCCAGCGGTGAGTTCATGTGTGCCAACCGCAAGTGCTTGGCCACCGTCAACGTGTGCGACGGGGACGACGACTGTGGAGACGGCAGCGATGAGCTCAAGTGTGCGTCCCCTCTGACCTGCGGGCCCAACCATCTCCGCTGTAACACCTCGGAGTGTGTGCCGCTCATGTGGAGCTGCGACGGAGACCCCGACTGCTCCGACAGTTCAGATGAGGGCCCGGAGCGCTGCGGCAGCGACGGGGTTCCCTACCTGCCTAACCGCCGGACAAACTGCACTGCAGGGGAGTTTCGCTGCGCCAACGGGGAGTGTGTGAGGCTGACCTGGAAGTGTGACGGAGATCCAGACTGCAAGGACAAGTCTGATGAGTCTGACTGCCGTGAGTTTCTCTTTCTGTCTCTTTTCTTGGCATCTCCTTGCCTTTCTCCCCTTATACTGTACTCTCTATTCTCTATTGTATGAAGGCTATCCTCGTTTCATATTTGAAAGGCTATCCTCTCTTTCTAAAAGGGGTTTATGTACATATGGAATATGTAACTGGGTTCAGGTATAGTTTCAGTACAGAGAATAGTAACCATAAAGAGGCCATAGCTGTGTCTCATTTCCATACTACTTGCTATTTCTAGGCAGGTTTTCACTATGTATCTGCTGTTTTTTGTGGGTTTTCATAACTAGTCATATTATGTCATATTAACTAGTCAAATGCCGACACATTCAGAAATGATTACCCTGAAGGTCAGTATTTTTTTACATTATCTTTGTGCAAAGAGTTATCATTGTTTGTTTTCGATATCCGTACGCTTTGAGACTTGAGAGAATCTCAACAAACTATATTTCCTTCCTCTTCTGAGGTGTTACTTTGCCATTTAGCACATTCCCACTATGCTGGAAGTTGGGGTAAGGTTCCTTTTTTTCCAAATGTGTCTGGTAAAGAATGTGTTTCTGTTGATAAACACGGTGTGAAGATGGGGCCCTGCGATAAAACAGGTTTTCCTATTAGCTGGTCATGGATGGGCGAGCCCTGAAGCTCCTGTCTCACTAAGCCAGAGTGTGAAGCCCAGATAGTCCCACTGTTCATTATCTTGATGTGTGGCGCACATATCACACCCACCTCTCACTCTCTGTGGTGTCATATAAGAGACACTTACAAGAGATTGATGTTTAGTTGGCCAACTGGATTCCTGCATTAAGAGAGTGGTCTGGAGGCCTAACCTCATATTTGTCCAGAGGTTACCATTTACTTCCACTACCTTTGCTATATTCACATGCTCTAATGTCTATGTGAGGATTATTTTGCCATATACATTTAATGCTATTGTGATTCATCAATACATTTCTGACATATAATATACAGTGTATATTATGCAATCCTTGGTAACTGGCTTATCACATCTGCCAGATACAGAAAAGACTGTATTAAGAGTATGCTATTAGTGTTTCTATGTGCATACGTGTGTGCACGTGTGTGTCCAGGCTACAGCGGCCCGTCTCCATTACATTCCCTCCGTTCAGCTCATCTTGTGATAACACTAAATCACATCCTCCTCAGTCATATATATTGCTTTTTAGTGTGATTTAGAAAGGAGTTCTATGAGCACGCTGGGCCCCGTTGATGAAAAGCTTGTCTGTGCTTGGGATATTAATGAAATGTGGTGTAGCTTCATGCAGCCTCCATCTTTGCATTACTGTATTGAAAATCCTTCATCACAAGCCCTCAGTTTGACTCTCTTTGTCCCAGGCAGCACCTAACACAGGCTGTGAATGGATAGAAGTACAGGGCACAACCCTTTTGATTTCATACATGCTTCTACAAAGAATCCTTTGAAATATGTTTTTGGGCATGTCTTGCCCTTATTAGAAAGACAAAAGTAGAGAGACTCGTGAAAAACTGATAAAGTGAAATTCAAAAAAAAAGATCTTGGGCTGGTGTTGGCCACAGGATGTTGTGATCCTCTTGAAGGGATTAAAGAGGATTTACAAGTCCAGTTTCAAGTGTGTGTGTTATGTGCGTGTGCGTGTGTGCCTCTTACAGCTCTGTTGACGTGTCGTCCCGATGAGTTCCAGTGCGGTGATGGTTCCTGCATCCACGGCACCAAGCAGTGTAACAAGGTCCACGACTGTCCTGACCACAGCGACGAATCTGGCTGCGTCAATGGTGGGTACACCCGCCATCACTGTCTGAAGGCCTGACTGCCAGAATCTGTCCTCCTCTCTGCCTGTTCACCTGTCGTCTTCTTGTCTGTTTGAATCAGTCTTCCCGTTTGATGTTCTGACTGTCAGTGCATATATATATTTGATTCAGTGCGTCTCAGTCCTGTGCACATGTCTGTCTTTTCTGAAATGCTTTTAAATGAGGAGTGATGACTTTGACCAGCTGTATTTGTTGTAAAAATGAAGGAAATTCAAGATAAAGTTAACATACCTGTGGCTGACCTCTCAGTACATGCTACAACCCCCTTTTTTTTAGCTGGTCTGCTCTATCTTTACTCCTACTACTTTTAAATGTTTTTCAGCTTGTGGTTTGAGATAATGAAGTCTAATATCGGTTTGCGCGAAATTAAATGAAAACTGATGAATAGCAAATGTAACACCTTAAAGTTCCAATCCTTAAGATTTCAGTCCTGGTAGATTTGAGCAGCTAATTGTCAGTTGTGACTGCACAGCTAAACTGGTGTTAAAAATCGAATTGTACAATGATCTGATTTCATGCTGCACACAGCACAGAGATAGGCTACCTTGCTGAAGAGTTGAATGTACGCAGCCTGCAGCCTTTTATCCAACAGCTCATTGTGGCTGCTCTTTCTCGTTTCATTACTATTATATAACATTTGTAATGTAATATGATTCATCATATTTAAAACTCACCCGCTGTCAAACAGATTGCAGAAAATGACTGTAAAAGAAAACGTTTGATGAATGATTGTGTTTAGTGCTAACCGTGGTGATAAAAACATTATGAAACATATGTTATATTTTGCCAGTTGAATGGTTTTAATGTGGAGTAGGATCAGGAGGAAGCGGTCCATTTGCATTTGCGTGAACTTAATATAGCTATGATAAAGGCTGATATCAATGAGATAAAATAAAGCTGGATTAACTGCTGCATTGTTTCCTGGAGATAATTGCAGAATGCAAATACGAACAATGGCTATTGCAGAAACAATGCTGGCCCATAAATATTATAAAAAAGGGTGTGATTTCATGAAAGCCATACAAGTTAGAACTTCCTTTAAACACATTTATGTGGGATTTTTCTGGGGTTAAATGATTGTGAAATGAATTGCTATAATGACCATTGATTGTTGTGAGGATCCAACCCAGTGCTTTTTGTAAGCTGATTTCATAACTTCTTCTTCTATACATAATACATGATACATAATTTACCAGCATACTGCAAAATGACGTTACTGAAAAAGTAGCCAGTGGTCCAGTGCCTGGACCAAATTAAAGTTCAGCTTTGATCCCACTGGGCTGTTATGTGGGATGATTTGAATATCTGAGCGAGGAGTATTTGTTGCTGTCACTCAGTTCATTTGAGCCTTCAGTAATATGGCGAACCACTGGAGATATTCAATATGACATCACACACTTTTTTGATACATGAGTTTCTGAATCACTGTGCAATAGCTTATACAAATAAATGTCTGTGGAGTTTATAGTGTAGATGCTGATCTAGCTTCTGCTGGTCTCTCGCAGCCACAAAATGTGAGGGGCCCCTGAAGTTCCTGTGTAAGAACGGAGAGTGCATTGACAGCTCCAAAGTGTGTGACTCCGTCAAGGACTGCAAGGACCGATCGGATGAGCCCAAGAAGGAGTGCGGTAAGAGGACTTTTTTCTGGACACGAGTACTTGGATGTAACCTCTGCTGTTAACAAACACTCTTTTACCCTTGGTGCAGTGGTATTAAATTAAGTAGATTGTGTGTGTGTGTGTCAGCAGAGCCTTTAGCTAAGCCCAGTCCCATGAGCACATTACAAATACACTATGTAAATGGTTTCAAGCAGTTAGTGTAGCAGCGGAATCATGTTTACCATAACAAAACTGTGACTACATTCCTCCTATTACCTTGCATTTCAAAGGCTTCAGAGAGCCGCACTCAAATTAGCAGAGAGAGCCTGCATGTACTAATTACCATCAGATAATAGAAAAAGGCTTCTGCTCTGCGATAATGTCTCGACTCTCCATCTCTCTTCCTGTCTCCATACACCTTTATCTCTTCAACTTTTTTTTTTCACTGACCACCAGTAAATGAAAGTGATGCCTTAGTTAAAGAAACAACACATTGTGTGTTTATGACCTTGCCTCTGTGATGAAGAGCTCAGTAAGAAGGTTTCTGATATGAGAGAGGAAGGAGCAGACGGACACTGACCTCTCAGAGGAACATACAGTTGAGAAGGGAAAGTGACAGATGGCAGAGTAGACTGACCTCTGCCAGGGAAATTACAAGACTAAAGGTATTCCAGAGAGTAATTCTCCTCACTTCGTCTTTCAGCTTCCTCGTCTTCCTCCCTGTCTCTCCTCATATTTACCTCCGTCTCTCCTTCAACTCAGATCTTGTTCTCAGCTCATTAACAGCGTGTCCGCACACACCTAGCTCATCGCTCTGCTCGCTCAACCATTTGCTTGCAAGATGTTCCCCAACCACAACACCCACACACACACACACACACACACACACACACAAGAAACACAGAGAGACAGTTCTACTCCCCACTGAACACACATCTAAACATAGTTGTTCGGTGAGATTGCATTTGCCGCATCAGCCTTACATCAGGGTAATATAAAGACAATGCAATTGTAAGTAAATGTTTTTCTGTGTTTCCCCATCTCATTAGAAATAATGGCGTATTACCACATCACTGACTCATTACTGGGCACACCATTCATTTCCTAACGCTGCACCATCACTTCCAGCTTTCACTGAGAGCAATGGCTGAAAATAGCTAGTACATAATGGGTTTCCATGGTGAGAGAGGTAGAGAGACGGAGAGAGACGGAGGTGGAGTAGAGAAGGAGACGTCATGTTTCTTTGCCCATGGGGAAAGTGACCTCTAAATCATGGCTGTCCTTGGAAGTGGTCTAGAAAATGCTGTTAATGTTATCATACGACCTCCCCCTGAGGCCTGTTTGCTACCCACCCAGCCCCTCTCAAAGAGACGGGCATGAGTGAGTCCTCAAATACAAACACACCGTCGTCTTTCTTCTGTCTGCAGTTAATTCTGAACCGACATGAAAGGAGTTAGCAGGAGCTGCTTTGAGTGGCAGGTTGCTGTCATCCATCCAGCTGAATTAGTGAAGGGAATTTAATGCTGGCGGTTGCAGCGCTCAAAGTCTGCTGGCGCTTACACAAAGCCAAGATGAAAATGTTCCCACAAAAGTAACCCCCAGTCAATCTTTCGAGAGTCAACTTTATCTTTCTTTATTTTTATTACAATAAATAAAGTATAATGTGGTGTAGCTGGGCAAAGAAATAACTTTGCTGAAAGATGAGCTGAACAGGTCATCTTGGATCCCTGTAGTCGGTGTATTGCTGGTGGTGGGTCTTGTAATTGTATAATTAATGAGGACCACATTCATCACGACTGACTTTCAGCATTTTATTGCAATGCACAAGAAAGGGCATCAACATAACTTCCCTGTGTAGAGAGTGTAGCAACATAAACAGCACAACGTTTTCTTGACGGGCATGATTTAGCATTGCAAGCTATGTGGTAGCCCTGCTAGGCACGTGTCTTGACAAACGTCTCTTCTAATTATCAAATGTATGCATTAAAATCAATAGAGCTTTACCGCCGAAATGTAAAAACACTTACTTTACACTTGTTTAAAGTAGCTTAAAGGAATTTGGGTAAATACGATTATTTGCTTTCTTGCAAACAGTTACATGAGAAACTCTGATACCTGTACGGTAAATATAAAGCTGGAGCCAGCAGCCGCTTAGCTTAGCTTAGCATAAAGACTGGAAACAAGGGATAAAGCTAGTCTGGCTCTTTCTGAAGGTGACAAGCCCCACCTAGCAGTATCTCTTAAACTAATTAACACATACATCTTGTTTGTTTCATCCGCACAAAAATGTAAGATTAAAACATGTTGCAGTGCTACGAGGGGTTATGTACTTCAATGTTTCTTGGCCGGGTGCAGTAACTTCCTGGAGTTGCGATGAGGTTGCCAGCCCAACTTTATGTAAGAAAGCGATTAAGTGTATTTCCCCAAAATATGATCTATTTCTTTAACCTCACTTGTAAAATACTGACGGTAAAGTGCAGGAAGAAAATGTGTACCTTCCCAAGGAAACGTCCAAAGCATTACAGATTCATGTGGTGTCATGATATGTAATGGTTAATGTAATGTTTCTTGTTTATATATTCAGCCAATGAAGCTTAATTTTGGAGCCAATGTCTTGGTGGGAAGTTTGCGGATGCTTTGCATTTCCTTGAGGCCAAATGTTTACTAAGTCTCACACATACTGTCCAGCAGCGCTGCCTTCAATGACTGATGATTTAAAGCTCCCTGGCTATCGACAGATGTGTTACACTAGATTGAGCCGGATGCTGGTTACAGAATGAAGCACTCTCTTGTATTGAGGAGTGAGGTTTCCCTTGTAGCTTAATCCATTTTTTTCTTCATCACCCCTTTCCAGTTGTTCATTGTGCAACCATGCATAATTGTTTGTATAAAAGTGAAGCCCTTAAGCTGTTGAACGAAACGTCAGAGATTGTTTCTGGTGATCTCAGCTTTTGCTCAGTTAACTTACCTTCGATGATTCATTCAAACAATTGATTGTTTTTTTCTTTTAAAAGCAAACATGGACAGGAAAGCGTGCTGTGTGCTGTCAAGTCATTTCCACAGTGAATTGATACAGATACAATATGTAACAGCTTGATTCATGTGGAGGTGATAAAGAAGTGACTTTAAAAATTGCAGCCACATTTGAGCCCTTGTTGCCATCAAGTAATTCATAAAGGCACTGTGTGCAGCTTAATAAAATCTTAACTGCCTCAGCCTTCTTTATTGTGTGCCAACCTTGTGCCAGCTGCTATGACCTAGTTTAAAATGAGAGTGGTTGTGTATTACATCTTGTTTTTTTGCTTCTTTCATTCTCCAGATGCTTTTACATCACTCTGCCTCAATTTAAACAGCAGGCCTGTTTAATTTAGATATCCTCTCTCTCTCTCTCTTGCTATCTCTCTCGCTCTCTCTTTCTTGTTCTCTCTCTTTCTCTCTCTCTCTCTCTCTCTCTCATTCTCCCTCTTGTGAAAGAGAACAAGAATGCTATTGGGCATCTCAGAATCCCAGTCCACAGCATTAATCCCCTCTAGATTCATAATTCATATCCCTGCAGATGGACCTGATTCTCAGTTTCGAGAGCTCACCAGGTGCCTCTTGTCTCTTTGATTCCCTTTTTCTTCTTTTGAGAACATCTGATATAAGGGTTCAAAAAGGATGGAAAATAGCTGAGCATGAGAGCTGAGATAAAATGATGATATTGAAGATGATATCCGTTTTCCCCACCCATGTGCCTCACATATTTATGCAGCTTTATAAAATATCACAAGCCACTGCAGTTACCCTTTTTACAAAAAAATGTTTTACAGTCAATGAGCCAGAAGCCTCTTTCTAAATCAGATTTTGACCTTTTAAATGACCTTTTGGGCTACCGTGATCTCCATACCTCTTCGATGACTGACTGCATTTGACCACTGGCTTCTTTTCTTTATCTCCCAGGGCTGAATGAGTGTATGATCAACAACGGCGGCTGCTCCCATGTCTGCATGGACCGACCAATTGGCTTTGAGTGCCAGTGCCCCAGTGGCTACCAGCTACTGGACAAAAAGACTTGTGGTGGTAAATAAAGAAACTTTAGACAGACAGATAAAAGAAAAGAAATGTCCTTAGCTGCTGACCAAGCTACTATGAGACATGAGACATGTGTGTGTGTGTGTTTATTTATATATACACATACACTCTGTCCTTCACACTTTCCCCATCCTTTTAACACTAACATTTCCCCATAACACCCAAGGAAAAAGCCTGACATCTGCCTTTAGGAAGTAGAGCGGAGAAGTCGACAGAGGAGACACGCCCTGTCTCACTGTCGACTTATTTCTTCCCATTAACGCAATGACAACATGTCTGTGTGTTTCTCCAGCGCTTGCAGTTATTAATGTGCATATTTACTCATCCGTTACAGCTGTTAGGAATTCATTGCTATATTTACATTAAGGGAGTTTAGTTTCCGCTCTTATCTAGTGCAGCTCACGAGGGTGAATTAGTCACTGTCTGTTTGGGTCCGTCTCTGCATCGATTGATGGCCTCTCTTCTCTCTTCTCCCTGCAGACATTGATGAGTGTGAGAACCCTGATGCTTGTAGCCAGATCTGCATCAACTACAAGGGGGATTTTAAATGTGAATGCCATGAAGGCTATGAGATGGACCCTGTTACTAAGACCTGCAAGGCTGAAGGTGAGTAGCAAAGCTCAATAATCAACAATGCAAGATGTCTGAGACAATAGGATTTATGTTAGGGTTTCCTATCAGGTTGAAAATGAGAATCAGTGATTAGTCAAAAGGATGCCAGAGATTTTGAACGTGTTGTGCTTGTGCTTCATGCATTACAGAGTAAATTAAATACTTTGTTCTTTTTGATATATATTACGCAGTTCTTAACCTAAATAGTTGCTGTTGTATAGACAGATTTTCCTCCACTGCAAGTACAAAAACCTGTGTTGTCTTGTTGATAACAACACATTCTCTCAAATGTTGCGCTGCCTCATTAGTGCTTCACACTAACACTTTGGAGCCGCAGTGTCAAAACCCTCCTCATCTCATAATCACAAACATCGTTCTGCTGTAAGTTTCTAACAGTTGCTCTGCACTTGCTTGTGCAATTGACATAATTGCTTAATCATAAAGAAAGCGAGCATCAACAAGGCGGGCTCTTGGTTTCTCCCGGGCCAAATCCGTCCTCAAGTGTCCTGTCACATTAGACAGTTTCCTGAGCGACTGAGTGATGTGTTCAACCATGCTGAACACTTATAATTAGGTAAAAACAACTCTTCAGGGGTACCTGGTTGAGTCACGGTGGATGCTAATTACATCAAATTGTCCCGTTAGGCTTGTTGACAACAGTTGTTGGACTAGTGGAGACCAAAGTGAACTGCTTACAGGCCACTTCATTTTCTTTGCCCTTCACCCATGGCCAAAAGCTATTAGCATGAGGCTTGCAGAGAGAGGCCAGTTTATATGTTTACAATCCATTTCCCCTAAAATGTTGATTATTTATTTGGCAGGAAACAGTGAGTCAAATGAAATGTGGTGATTTGGTCCCTGTGGCTGTCAATTGCTGTGATTTCATTTCCCTCTATTAGGCTGAGCTGATAACAAAGCTCAGCACCCACATGTGTGTGTTTGCATTTGTACACACTGTATGGACTGTATCTGCACTTGTGTATTTCTCTCTGCATGACTGCCCGATGTGTTTGCTGTCAGTTCATCATGGCCAGGAGAGAGAACTGTGTTGTCTGGCTGCGTGTCAAAAGCAGCGCAAGCAGAATAGCAGTGAATGCAGCCGTTCCACCGCTGCCGTGACAGTCCATAAAACCAGCAGGGGACTATTTCCCCCTTTATAGGGGTTGGAAATGTTGTCATTGTAATGGCCAGATTTGGAGAATACTTAGTCCTGACCAGCACTGCCATCATTCAGACTTTGAGGTGGGAGAGGGAGGAAAGGGAAGAAAGAGGGAAACGTGCAAGAGTGCGATACTACAACGAGGTTACGACACAGACTGTCAAAAGGAAACTGAGGCCAGCTATTAATGAGAGAATATTATATCTGCCTCTGGAGATAACTGGCTGCAGCTGCCATCCTATTACCATGCAGTGTCAGAAAGAGATAGGCTCAATATAGATGTTACAAGACCAAGGTGGTCTGTAGCTGCCAGAAAAAAGTGATAAAACCTTCCCTGTGGCATCTATTACCCACTTGACTTTTTCGTGCCAGAATTATAGGAAATATTCATGAAGATGGCATGATAATATAAATGCGTTTACGGCATCTGTTCACATTTGGGGCTAATTAAAATGCATCCTGGGTGACCTTATCACAAGTGGACAGCTCTAAAAATAGGTGAGTGCACCCAAAACGCTGTGATGTAGATGCTCAATGCTTAGCTCCAGTATGTGTGCTTCTACTGTAGCATTACAAAGCTACCCAACTCAACTCAACTTATTTAGTTGACTTTTAATATTTAGACTTCATAATGTCTTAAATTTGAAAATGTGTACAGGTAATATGAATTTAATTATAGAAATAATGAATAATAATTAAATAAGGAAGTGAAATGTAAATTCAAAATATTGCAAATATTAGAAAATGAAAATACACAAAAAAAAGCATTGGATAACAGAAGATAAACATAAGATGAAAACTATCAATATTTTATTTTTTTAGATATAAAATACCTGCCAAAAAACCTGCCAAGAAATTGAAATTACATCTATTGCTCAGAGGACTGTGATTTCATATTGTTGTATCATGGTTTCATATCCTGCTTTGTTGGTCTCATTTTGTGTTTGGTTTTTTGTGTACTTCTTTGTCTGGTATGCAAATATGCTTCCATAGCTCTGAGGCTGACAGCAAATATGTATTTTTAGCCATGCTAGCACCATAGGTTTAGGAATAGCAATGTCTATGTGGATGTGAGCATTTAGCTCAAAGCACCACTCTGCCCAAGTCCAGCCTCACTGAGCCACTAGCATGGCTGCACACGTCTTGTATCTAGTAGTTGTCACAATTTCCCCACTGATAAAATCAAATAGGAGTGGGAAATAGAAAATCTAATCCCAAGTGATCCCATGAGATGCATTCTGCAACCAGGGGAGACCTGCAATCCATAGTTGCCCCTATAACTGACACAGTGCAGGTATAAAAAGACGAGGCCTGTCCTCGACCAAAGAAATTCTAAGTCAACTTACACTCATACAATTTTGTCAACTAATCGATAAGTTGATTTAATCGACAGATCTGTAAAACTTTCTCCAAAATCTTGTGTTTACCAGGGATGTGTTTTTAAGTTTTCTGACAATAAGTCATTCAGCATGAAAAAGCATAAAGAATGAAATATCAACAATAGAAATCTTAGGCACCCAGGTATTGACATTATTCTGTCTGTTTAAATTGATTGCAGTTGAAGAGTGAGATGAGGGAACTCAGTAACTGATGCTTATTGTTTTGTTAGGCGGCCAAGCAAAGTGTAAGAAACCCGTCTGATTTAGCTTTGTTCAAGGTTGTTTATCGGCCCTCAGAGGGAATTACTGCATCGCTCGTCTTTTAGTGTGTGCACGCTCATTCATGTCTATTTAGTTCTCCTGCCTGTTGGAAAGTTGACAGCTTGCTGTTTAAAGAGGTGCCGAATGCCAAGGTACTGCTAATCTATATTTGCAAGGAGAAGGTAATAAGGTCCGTACAACTCAATGATGCATCCAGACACACTGATCAATACTGGAACTATGCAGCAGCAGTTTTTAAATGAAGGATTATTGTCCCTGCACTCTTGTTAGATGAGGATATTGAGCTGTATCACCCAAGCTTTGTTGTGTTATTTATCTGTGCTAAAAGACGACAATAAGAGTATCGACTTGGGTGCTACAAATATGCAGCATCACATTAAGCTGCAATGCCTTTAGACACTTTGGTGAAGCCTCTGTGTTATTACAGTAGAGGAATGTCCACATCATCCACTGACACGCAGCATCATGTTCAACCGTCTTATCCAAGGGTTTTGATGCTGTGCTGAAAAAAACCCAATCTCTCAGGCTTATCGGCATCTTCATCCTTTTTGTCCTGCCTTTGCAGCAGAATAATGTTGTATGCTTTGGGTTTTATTGTTGACATTATTTCTCATTTCTAATCCAATCTAAATCCAGATCATGTTTGCTCAGAATGCCTTAAAAGTTCATCCCACCGGTTAAAGGTTATATTTACTTTATTACACTTTACTTGCTTGCTATATTTGAGCCACATAAGGGATGCTGTGCAGAGAGGATGAGTGCAGCTCCTTTCTAATAACAGATAATGTCATCTACCCTTCTTCCGGCCCTTTACCAAATTGTCACAGCTTATTTGACCGGCCATTATTGCAGTACATACCAACTCCACCTACCAATAATGTATTCCTCTTACTAATGTATTAAACCAGCATCTAAATTGCTTTTTTACTGGGACTGATTGTACATTTTAGCTGGATAAACTCTTCCATACTTAGGCTGCAAGTTCACACTTTTTCAAGGGCAATACATATTGTTGTACTTTGTGTGCAGGAAAGAGCCCTTACCTGCTGTTCACCAACCGGCATGAGATCCGACGCATCGACCTGGTAAAGAGGGACTACAGCCAGGTGGTGTCCACCCAGAAGAACGCTGTAGCTCTGGACCTGGATGTGGCCAACAACCGAGTCTTCTGGTGCGATCGCTTTCACCGGAAAATCTACAGGTAAACGTTTACAGACGAATTTATAAAACGAATTTCATATCGGATACATTTTCAAAGATCATAAACTCTTGGATTTGAAAACCAAACCTCTCTGACATTTTGACAACTTCAGATTTTAGACAAAATAACATAAATTTGACCTTAGTGACCCTTGAAGTGCCAAACCATATATTGTTGCACCCTGGCATTATTTGATTTGCCTGTATTTGATTTACTGAGCATCTACTTGTAATCAACTGAGACAATGGTTCAGGCCTGCTACTGTTGTAGATTCATTTCACCCATTGTTATCCCGACTACGATTTCTCCCCAGGGTGTCTTCTAATTGGAGCACTGTGTTCTCTTTATGAAATGGATGTTAAGACAAAAGCTCTCTGGGGGAACTAAAATTGAAATTCCTGTTCGGGAGCACAGCTGCCTGGCCCTCACCTCACACCTCTGCCGGGGGCCAAATCATTAGCGGGCAGGGCAACCCATGAGTTAGGCCTTGTCTATTCTGATAAGTGGTGCACCTAAGAAGGATGCCAACCTGCTCAGCGCATTGCCCAAGGCTACAGCTCCCATACCAGGCCCATTCTCCACTCCTCCGAAATGTTTGTTAAATGCTTTGGATTGTAATGAAATCACAAAAAGAGATTTTCATAAGGATGAATCTTTTTTTGATAGGGTGCCATGTAATAATAACAATAGTGTATAAAGAGTTGTTATCACAAAATAGAGTTCCACCAGGCAGTCAACTTCCCTCCACTACACATCCATTCTGTGATAATGGCTGGTTGTCTGTAGACTATGAATCACATATTGTCCTCCCCTCAAAATACTCGCTGCGTCCCCCTACTGCGTCTTTATCGCGCTCTCTCCTCCCCCGCAGTGCCTTCATCCATGAGGCCAGTGACCCCGCCCAGCAGGTACCGCTGCTGGATTCTCTCCTGCAGACCCCCGTGGGTCTGGCTCTGGACTGGCTCCAACACAACCTGTACTGGGCCGACTCCGGAGACAAATCCATCTCTGTGGCCTCAGTGGACGCCACCAAGAGACGCATCCTCATCAACACCGACCTGAGTGAACCCCGGGCCATAGCGCTGGATCCCCATCAAGGGTAAGGAGGAGGAGGAGTGTGTACATTGTCCAGGAGCACATTACAAAATGCCTTGACCTACACGATTAATTTATAATGTATGCTAATTACTAAACTGTATGCTATTAATTTACATAAAAATATACAGTATGTCGGCATAAAATTGTCAAACTGATTTATATTGGTGACCCACCCCTATATCTCTTTGAATATGCTGGTAGACACTAAACTGATCTATTTTTTTTTTTATCAAAAATAATTTTCAATGACCCCAGATATAGATATAGAGTTCAGTGCGGGACCCAGGAAATTAATAAACATAATCCTCTTCTGAGACCATATCTAATGGTAAATATAAGAGAACGCTGGTTGCTGTACGTGGGAATCCAGAATAACAAGCCTGTGACCCATTTAGCATCCTGACTCAATAGTTTTGTAGAAATTCTGTCCCAGATGAGCGTTCCTAATCTGGGAAGCTTTATGAATTTGTGCCAGCGTGTGCTTCTGCATCTTTTGTTTTCTGGTGATCCAAACCCAGATGAAAACAAACAGTCCCAAAAATAAACTTAAATAAACAGACGCATAGCCTAAACTGAGGCACACAGTGAGAATGTCTGCACATTAGAGACCCAATCATGACTGCCCAACAGGAATCCAGCACACAGATTTCTTACTCTTGACAGCAAATAAAAGTTTTGACTTTGCGGGAAAATTCACTTAATGTCAGTAATAAACATAGAAAGGACGTAATCTGTAAATCACACTGTATTATGCTGCCGTGATTGTTGGCTGATATTGCCCAATAACCATTCAAACTATACAGAACTCATACAATAACAGCCTTTACCTTTTACAACACATTAAGTAAATCAATGCTATGGCTGCAGTTTTTACTAACACTGATAATGTACATTAGCACAGCTGCATTGAAGACATTGCTTCTAATTATGACATGATGGGCTGTTTAAGATTTGAACACATTACATTATATTACAGTCATTTAGCAGACACTTTTATCCAAAGCGACTTACAATTCAGATTCTATCACATTTCTACACCGTAGGCACAACTACGGGAGCAATTTTGGGGTTAGGTGTCTTGCTCAAGGACACATCGACATGCGAATAGCAGAGCCGGAGCCGGGGATTGAACCGCCAATCCTCTGATTGAAAGACGGCCCTGCTATCCACTTAGCCACAGTCGCCCCTGTCGCCCCACATCTGGAAACCAAAAGTTCCAGATTCGAGTTTGTACAAAAGATGATTCTGTTACTGCTTTGCTGCTCTTTTGTCTTGTGTTGTGATTTTATGGTGCTGAACGGACAGCTCCCATAGAGTGCTCTTTACCCGGATCACCATCACCAGACAAATAATTGCATTTTAAATGCTGAGAATCTCCGAAAAAGGGGAAGGTATCTTAAAATAAAAAGGAATAATACTTGTGCAGTATGAGATTGTTTACTTCCACATGTCTTACTGAGTGCAGCAGCACGACATGAAGACGCTGTAATAACACAATAAGTGTGCTTCCTTTTGTTCAATCCAGCTTTATGTACTGGTCCGACTGGGGCACGCGAGCCAAGATCGAGAAGGCCGGGATGAATGGAGTGGACCGACAGGTGCTGGTGGCTGATAACATTGAATGGCCCAATGGCATCACTCTAGGTGAGAGGAGAACAGCTGTTTTTCAACTCCCGTCCTTATGTTATATATTACACAGTGCTATATTGTCCACCTATTGTGTGTTTCTGAATGCGCCTGAAGCAGAGTCCTTAAAAAGAGCTAATGCACTCAATCAACTCATTGTAAGTAAAGGTCAAAAGAAATTCCAATTATAAGGGTAAATGCTAAATGATAATGGCAAGAAATAGATTAATAAAGTTATCACAGTTGCTTTGAATGACATTTGAAGTGTTTTAGAAGTTATAGATCATCACAGTAAAACTTGCGGTGGTGTAATCGTGAGAATCTGACATTTTAAAACGTAATCGATATAACCTAAAGGGATTTGTCGGTCAGAGTGCAAGAGTGCTTACTGTGAAGACGATCAATTTGTATTCAGCTTGGAAAAAGTCCTTTTTACCTGTGTGTGTGTGTGTGTGTGTGTGTGTGTGTTTCTCAGATGTAGCCAACAAGCGTCTGTACTGGGTCGATTCAAAGCTGCACCTTGTAGCCAGCGTGGACCTGAACGGAGCTCACCGCAGAACACACGTGTCATCCGCAGAGAGACTGGGACACCCCTACGCTCTGGCTGTTTTTGAGGTTTGTGTGCAACAGATTTGTAATGGCTTTGCCGTTGTCTGTGGTATCATCCAGTCTCCCACATCTCATCATATCTACATCTCTCTCATTAGCCTCGCAGGGGCCCGCAGTGTGACTGGGAGTCTGAATGTAATGACTGTTAAATTCAATTTACTGTGTGCTCAGTTTGTGTGTGTGTGTGTGTGTGTGTGTGTGTGTGTGTGTGTGTGTGTGTGTGTGTGTGTGTCTGTTTTCCCTTGTGGGATTGACTGGCTGAGAATACTAAACAGAAGACAGCTATAGAGCAGCCTAAAGCAACCCACGCACTCATGCTTTTGGTCATAAGCCAGCTTCCCTGTGTGCATGTGTGTGTGTGTGTGTGTGGACGTGCATGCTTTTACATGCTTATAAATTCTTGTCTGGCATGTCCATGTTGTTGCTTCTGCAGCAAAGTCCCAGCCAGTTTCAGATGGCTGCTAATGACATCACCCAAGTGGCCTATTCCCCCGTGGGACTGGAGGGGAACTGGTCTAAGTGGGAACAGAGTAGCAGATTTCATACAGCAGCAGACCAGATTTGAAAAATACCAACTTGGGTTTGAATTGCATTCAATTCGTGACACCAACACGAGATTCAAATGTCCCTCCTTTTACAGTAGCAACAGAGTAAAGAAGCCTCAATGCTGCAGACCTGATCTAAAAAGCAGAGATGCAAAGAGTATTAGTACATAGGTATTATTGGCTAAATGTATTTAAAGTATCAAAAGTCAAATTTAGCAAAAGGCTCCTGTTCCGTGTTGTATTGTCATACTGTTTATTATAAAATGTAATTTTATAAAATAAATGTATATAAATTTAATATTTCAAGTTTTCTATCAAACAAAAAGGTAGACAAAAATATGATTGAAAGGCTACTTGAACACGAGTGCATCAATAATATCCGCCAGTATTCAATCCAATCCAGTGTTATCTATTTTGTATGTAAAATCTTGTAAACTGCAAAGTAACTATAACGATCAAATCAACAGAGTGAAAAGTATATTTCCCTCTGAAATGTAGTAAAGTATGAAGTAGAGAAAATGGTACTACTCAAGAACAAGTACTTTAAAATTTCAATACTTGAGTAAAATGGATTAAAGTTACTTTCCACCACTGCAAAAAACGTTCCAAAGAATTGCTGTTTAGAATACAAACTGCTCACATGTCACTGTTTTAACCTTTTAAAGTGAGAACAGCAATACAGGCAAGCTGTCCAAAGCGTAACCTTGAGGGTTTTCCCTCCTGTACTCTGCTGTTAGTGCCGCCTGCCGGCAGCACTGTAGTGCAACTCACAGAGACGATGATACATTCCCTCTGGTGGAATACCTCATCGATCCGGGGCGTCTCTGCCCTGTTCTGACAACAAGGTGACCTTCTTGTTCAGGATGTTGAACATTCACCAGCCCGCATGTTATTGACTGGAGCTTGTTGTATTGTGCATCACATTACCATGTCTTTCTGACTCAGTGACTGACTCAACACACAAACACACGCACACACTCGGGTGGCGAGGCTTATTGTCTCTCGCTAGAGATTAGCCTGTAGTTTCTAAGGCAACCGCGAAAATATGTCAGACTGTCTTCTGAAACTGTTGAGTGAGTGAACCGGGAAAACAAAGCAAACAAATCAATAAATAAACAACAAGCATAGTTAAAATTAGCCTTTGAGCTAATATCTTTTGATCTAAATAGGATGTGTGTTAATCATTTAAGACCTAATGCTCTAACGAACCACAAAGGATGTGCCAGACACTTGAAACCTATAAATATAAAGCCAGTGGATATGTTGAATCTTCTTCTGCAATAAGGTGTAACCCTGGTTATTGCCTGCTGTTTACTGTTGCACTCCAATTGAATTAAAAAACATGTCTTAGTTACCATTAAACCTCTGCATTTGCATTTCCTTGATAGATTCATCCCCTCATATTATTTGCAGCAAAGGCCACATTAACACTCTCTTCTGCAAAAGAAAATTAATTATTAGACTGTGTGTGCCAGCAAGTATTTATCAGTGCATATTTCACTTGTCCTAATTTTCGTTTTATTATTTTTCCACAAATAAATTAGACTGGAGCAGTTACAGCTGTTAGCGCTGTGTGTTCTCCCACAGCATGCATCTCATGTGAGGCGGTACACAGTAGTGCTTTGAGCTAGTTGCTACCATCAGCATGTTAACATGCTAACAATCTGCTAATAAATAGGTATAATGTTTACTATGTTCACCATTTTGGGTTCGTGTGTTACCAAACTTAGTTTTACATGTGTTTGGTCATAAACAAAGTATTGGACAAATTGAAATGTGGACCAGATGATGGTGCTAGAGAAGAGTTGTGTAATCATAGAGGTTATTATAATTAAGATTGTACAATTCAAGTACATACAAACTCAAATTTATTTTTTATTTTTAGAGGTCGGACGTCAGGGACTGTTCTATTGTGTTAAAAATGTAAAAAAAATAAAAATTAATTTAATGAGAAAATATTCAGTACTTTTCATTTCAAGTACTTAATTCACACAGATATATACAAAACCATGTTGTTATTTCATATAGACTATTTGTTTATTGAATTCCCAAAAAACATGCATCTTGAGATATATATTGTTCTGGAGATATGAAATGATCTACATCCGAAGAGAAGGTTTTAACCATGTCGCCCAGCCAAAAAAACCCAACAGAATTAATACCCACATCAACATCAATGTAATCGCTCCAAGTCGAACATCAAGTAAAATAGATATTGTTGAAAAAGTGACATACAAATTTTGACTTTGATCGTTTCGAAGTTTCCCAAAAGCCGTAAAGTGACCACTATTTTTATTTTGGATTGTAGAGATTAGATATGATTCGTAGTTGAATGTCTTTGACTTTTGAGGTCGCCACCCACGCTGTTGGAATTGCTAATATGTGCTCTTGGGTATAAACCCAACACAACCCTGACTGACTTGTTCTGTGTATTGCTCATATTGAGACGATGATTCTCTCTGTGTTTCAGGACCGTATCTACTGGACAGACAGAGACAGATCGGCGGTGTTCATGGCCAACAGGCTGACCGGTCAAGACATCCACACGCTGGCTGAAAACCTCAACGACCCCCATGACATCGTGGTCTTTCACCAGCTCCGCCAGCCGCAAGGTGTGTTCACACAGTATGAGTGAGGGTCTTGCATGTGTGTCTGCGACCACGTTTCCTCAGTGGATCCATGTCGACCCTGGGACATGAATAAATGATGGTGAGGCTTGTGACTGCGGAGGAGGGATCAAAGCATTGGGAGCAGCAGTACATTCACACATCTGTCTAAACCCTGCCCCGGCCCGCTTTCCTCTTAACATGACGATCCGGATTTGAGTGGAACTGAACAGAGAGTTTTTAATCATGAATGTGAAGGCTTTGTATTTCCTTTCTTGTGTGTCTTTCCAATTCGATCTTCATACATACCTGTTTTTCCTAGTTTGTATCGTAACACGATGCCATGAACACAGTGGTGTTGTACCTGGCACAGAGCCCAGGGTCTTGTTAATATTCACAGCAAGTTTCTGTATGATGCCAGATTTTTATTCTCTTAGCTTTTGTTCACGCATTGTAATGCACTTTCTTATAAGGGAATTCAACAGGGTTCACAGTGGGGAACAATAAAGTGCATCAACTTCTTCTGTCTCTCTCTGACTCTCTGCAACCATGTTGAATAAGTGATAATCTTATTTATATAACCATAACTGTGTAATTCTCCATGTGTCTCTCTTTCTCTCTGCCGCTGTCTCCAGGCCCAGACAGCTGTAATCTGGGCAGCGTGGCGAATGGAGGGTGCGAGTACTTGTGTCTCAAGGCTCCGCAGATTACCGAGCACTCGCCCAAATACACCTGCGCCTGCCCCGACGGGCAGGACCTGGGGCCTGAAATGAGGGGCTGTGTGCCAGGTGAGTGTGTTTACCAGTGTTATTTGAGAGCAATAAGTGATCAATATTAGGCAGAGCGCCACATGCTTACGGTGTAGATAATCAGATTCTGCTCGACTTAAAGCAAGCTCTTTTCTTTGTGATGAGTTTAAGCAGTTGTCTACTGGATCATTGCTGACAAATGTTCTCTTTGTAGTTAATAAAAATAGAAAAAAAATATTAAAAATGATAATAATTAAATAATAATAATTGAAGAATAGATACATTAATAGATAAATAATATTTTGCATTTAAAGGACCTTTCAAAGGGACCCAAGGATGCTTTTTGTAGCCAGAACAAATAAAAACAATAACACAAGACAGAAAATAAATCGTGATTTTCTGAATTAAATTAAAAGTTTTTTTAGATTGTATTGAAGTGAGCCCTGTACTGCCTGAAACTTGTTGCTTATTGTTAATAACTTGCTTAATACATTTAATCACAGAGCTAATACAATAGAAAATAAGATCAATTCATATATCATTTTTCTGGTAGGTAGTAATAAATAAAAAAGATTAGATGTTCTCCCTTCAAGCAACATATTTATTGAACCTGTAAATAAAAAAGATAGTTGCTAAGCAACACATCCAGGCGGTGGATACAATAACATGGACCACTATGCAGTGAAATGCAATCTAACACCACATCTCTGGAACAAATACTACATTTGTTGTATCGCGTTGCATTATGATGTATGGTGTTGATGCCAGGGAGGGGACGGCTGCTTTGAACAGATCAGTTGTATTTGAAATCCTCTTTATGGACAAGTACTAAGTCTGATATTTAGCTTAAGTACAAGCTCATTTATGTTTACATGATGTTTGTTATAGATCTTATAACAATAATTCAGTTTCTGGAGCGAAAGGTTTCTATGGTGCTCTTCGTTTCTCTGCAGCAGCACCAAGAGACGACATGACACCGACATCCTCGCCTGCTGCTGGATTTACACCTGGCACTAGAGACACTTTGGCGGAAGACTTCCCACCACCCTCGGGGGGAGTATCACAGGCGGACGCCACCCCTCACTTGACCGCAGCTCCCTCTGGGGCCCCCGAGCCCCTCACACCTTTCTCCACTCTGAAGCCTTTGTCGTCACAAGAGTCAAAGGTGCTGGGCTCGCACTCCACTGCCACCGCGATGGTCATCTCCACCACACCTGCGAGGGACAGCAGCGTCTCTCAACACTGTAAGTGGGCTGTGAATTCAAAATAATGTTCAATCAATTCTGCGTCTGTGTGAAGATACTGGAAAAAACTATTAATACTGTGACCAAGTCTCATTTAGAGACTCATAAGCAGATATGTAAGCATTCACTCCTTGATGTCCCATTCTTACATTCACTCTGAGAAATCCAGCATGATGGGATTTTTATTTTTTATGTGCCCTCTGTATGATTTTGAGAGGGCAGAGTGGCCCATTCAGGAGTTAACAAGAGATGGGGCCCAATTCCCTGATGAAGGGGGCACTTTCACCTGAGCGTCCTCACCTCCTGCTAAGCACCACATTCTGCAGTCCTACTCACACTCATAATGTAGCTAACAACCTCACCCTCAATGTAATAATGACATTAAAGTAAGGTATCTGCGAGCCCCAACAACCACGCGCGACTGACTTTAATAGGACTGATCGATGGTTGTCTCGAAAATGTCTCCTTTCAGTCAATAGATTGTGCTCTGTGTGGCCTGCAGGGTGTTTGTATGTCTGCCAGGACATGCATGCGCTTAATAAGTGTGTCAAAGGATGTGATATTTAAATGAATGTGAGGTGACATTGGAGCCTGATGGCGCCTGGATGGATGAAGTGTAGGAGGTCAGGGTTAGTGTCACTTTCACACTCCAGCAAATGCCAAGAAACTCATCATTTCCCTCTTCCATTTTTACTCTTTTTCACTATCTGTCTCTCTTTGTAAAACACTCACAGCCACGCATGCATGATCAGCAGCTCTGTTTTATTTCCCTTCTCCTCCCCCTGCTCTCCCGTCCCGCCTCTCACACTTTTTTTTTTTTTATCCCGTACGTTTCCTCGCTCGCGTTCTGCTGTCTTTTCTGACCCTCGCTCTAACTCCCGTTTCTTGTCCCATCTCTCTCTCTCTTCAGCTGGAAGGGAGAATTTCCTCCTGGGCGAGAACCTGACAGTGGCTGTTTTGGGAGTGGTCATCCCCATCGGTAAGTCACCGGAAGCCTTCTTGTCTGTGCGCGTCTGTCCACATTAAGGCCTGCAAGGCTGCATAAAAGCTGCTGTCTACTTGCTGCCTGTGGCCACTCTGTTTGTAGTCCATTCACTCTGACCCTGCCGTGGCAGGATGAGAGAAGCCTGGCCCACAGGTCTTCCTCGCTGAGGTTTCTCAGGAGTCATTTTTTGTGCGTCTGACATTGCTGCCACGCTGCATTATTCACTTCACGCTGTGTTGTTGTGTTGGGTTCTGCTACAGCCAGACTTGTCAGTTGGCCTTTTTCCCTTTGTGTGGTTAGCATACTATAGTTCAGCAAGAGAGCACACAAAGGGTCTGCGCACATCAATTGCAAACATATTATACAATAGTGGTATCTAGCCATCCAGATAGTTTTGTTTTTATGTTTCCACAATTTTGAAAACCAATTCGGTGGACCTGCATGGTACAGACCTGCTAAACAACCCTCAGATACCTGCTACACATGTCAAGCTTTCTGTTTTCACATGGCACTTAAGCAGTGTGCAGTAATAATAGTGGCAGAGGTTGACAAAAGCAGGGTTTTCATATGTAGCTCACACCTTTTAACAGCTGTAGATCCATGCATTGGTTAAAAATGCCGTCTGTGGCTACCGTTATATATGAAATACTTAATGGTTAAATAGATGACATCATGCCAAGAGACTGTGGCTAAAGCTTTGTCTCCCAGGAAAAATCTTTACCAGTTGATGATGCACGTAAAAGACTGATTTGTTTAATTATTGCAGTTTACAGCTAGTTAGTCCAAGTGTTATAAGTGCAAATGTAAGATCAGGCTGTTATTTGTTCTGACATAGCCGTGTTTGGCTTTTGAGCTCACATATTTGTTCGTATTTGCAAACACAAGTGGTTTATACTTTAAACGGTTCAAGAGAAATATTGTAGGACGAGAACCCACTGTGTTTGGCAAACGTAGCGTTATCTCAGGTAAAACTGGCTGTGGTTGCTGCAGTGTAAACTGATAGAAGAGACGGGGATTGGACAATCACTGTCGATTCGTTTGTGATGCTTAAAGGATACTGAAAAATTCAACAGCTACATTCTTTTTCCAAAAAATGTGTCCCGAACTGTCCTGTAGATTTGATAAAAATAATGTTTTTCCCCTGAAATATTTTGTCTCGTGTAAAGCTGGTCTTACTTTGACACCACGTATTACAAAAATATATATAAAGGCTGTATGTAGAAAAATGTATATGTGTGAAATATTACTTCTGTGCATCTGGTATAGTAAAGCCAATGCAACAGCAAAGTGAAACATGATGAACCAGTCAATTAGTTCAGACGGCCTGCTCTCATCATATACTTAATATGGTGAACAGACAGTACGGGAGAGAAAAGGAGACGCAATGACACCTTGAATGGTGCTTTATTGGTGAATTTAATAAAGCATTATTAGATCGCATTGCTTATTCAAGGACACATTTGCTGAGTTGCCAAGAAAGAGACTGTGATGTAATATGATAGTTAAAATGTGCACTCCCCAAGGATAGTTTAAAACTAATTTACTCCAAAGCCAGGCCTCTAATGAGGCTTCACACAGCTGATTCAGAGTCTGTGTTAAAAATGTGTTGGTTGGTGTATGACCCGACTTTGACCCGATGTTTAGCCGAGCCACCCACACAAACAACCTCTCTATCGCTGCCCCCGCCCTCTCTGTCCCCCGCATGCCTGGTCTGCTCCTCTGTGTGCCTCTCATTTCATGCCATGGACTCGTAATGCCTCGTTAACGCTCCCCCTTCCCGTGTCCCTGCCGCTGTGTGTTAAACGCATGCAGTTCCTATCGTTGCCACAGTGTTGTTCGGGCTGGTGTGCGCCGGGGTCTACCTGGTGTGGCGCAACTGGCAGCGCAACTCCACCAAGAGCATGAACTTCGACAACCCCGTCTACCGCAAGACCACTGGCGAGGGCGAGGAGGACGAGATCCACATCGGGCGGACGGACGGCATGGGTCACCACGCGCACCATCACCCGTACCCGCAGGGCGTCAACATGGGACTTGTAGGAGCTGGAGGTGGCACCTGCCCGCAGTTCATTGCCCTGCCGCTCGGGGGCAGCATGCCCGATCCGGGGACTCACTGGTACACGGAGCAGCCCATGCTGTCCACGGCAAAGTGACCCACGAGAGCGGATTCAGGGGAAGATGGCCGCTTAGGCACGCGCGCACACACAGTGAGGTCAGGGGTGACTTGGACTGAGTTTGCAGAAAGTACGAACAACATATCATCAAGTGTTACATGCAGCCATATTCTGTGCCAATTTCCATTTGAAAAACAGCAGATTTATTAAGACTAACATGATTCTGAAAAAATGATTTCATACCGTATCTGTGCTGGAGCTCGATCTAATTTCTTCAGTAAATGCTGAGAATTAAATACAGAATTTTTAAAGTGTTGTAATGTGTTCCCAACATTGACCTAAACTGGAAGATGGAAACGGACGGGTTCCTCTTTTGGAGTCTTTTGTATTGAAAACTGAGTGAGGTGTGTGCTGTGTGTCTTATATTTTGTGACGGGGCATGGTGAGAGGTTCTGTTTCATCCTCGATGTATTCATTTGGGCTTTGTGTTATTCCTGGTTGGCCGTGTAGCTCTGGGAACACTGTTTAGGAAGGAGGAGCTCTGAAACTGGGACAGCAACTGCGTTGGTGGGACAATCTGTACAGATTCATGTTCGAATCAATCACAAATCTCATAAATGTCATTACTGGAGCTGTCGTTTGTCGTTTTCCTGAATGGGTTTTCTTTTGTTTGATTTTTTTTTTTTTGTCATTGTGACTGATTTTAAAGAAAGCTCAATAACCACATGATACGCTTTCTCTCTGATTCAGAGGCAAGCCTGTAAGGGTGAGCTGTCTTGCGTTTAGGAGTGCAATTGATTTGAGGGGAAATCTTTTTATTTGACCTCCAACACCTCAAAGGTTTGGGATAGTGCAGCAGGTTTGTGGATTGAAAAGAAGAAAATAGAGACATTAAATCTACTGTACGAGAAGAGAGGACGTGAGGTTCGAGGGAAGAGGATTTTACACAGGAGTTCTTTCCTATCGTGACTTGTTTCGATGGTAAATGGTTTGAAAAAAGCAATAGACTCCAGCTTTCAGTCAGGCTGCAGTGTTACGTGGTTTACAAAAATCCTTGAGTGTAAAATTGTATTTGATCACCCGCTTTTGACTGTGACAAATGCGCACACAAGTACGCACAGGGTGCAGTGATAGCAAATTCACGCTGTTCTCCAGAGGACGGATACAATGTGCACTTGGCCCTACGAAAACACAAACAGCATGCATAATTGCTCACCAGCTGACAATGCAGCCATTCATTGTTCCAGGCGAGACAGGCAGACATTGACAAAAGCAAGCTGGATTCCAGCACCCGCTCCCCTCCTCCTCCTGAGATGGCCGATATCTGAGCAGACAGTTTTGCGTAGAGCCATGTGGGGGGGCCCAGCTGGTGGCTGCATGATGAAAAAGACCCGTCAAGTGATGTAACCATAGAAAACTAAAACCTGACTCTGATGGAATGAGGTTGAGACCAAATTGTCAGTGAACATGCTTCATGCTGGTTTAGACACTGTTACTCCATTCATAAACCTTAAAAAGTCTGTCTGTGTGTGTGTGTGTGTGTGTGTGTGTGTGTGTGTGTGTGCGCGTGCGTGCTTGTGTGTGCGTGTGTGTGTTCACTATTATGCATGTGAGTGCTAGTTTCATCCCACAGCCATATTTGAACCGTTTTGTATGCTCTTTGTTGCACAACCCTCTTAGAATGCCTTCTGCATTGTGTATTGCATGGAACAAAACTGTGTGAAGGTGCGTGGGTACACAGGTGTGTGTGTGTGTGTGTGTGTGTGTGTGTGTGTGTGTGTGTGTGTG